TTGCTTACGTTCGACTTCGCCAGTGAATCCCTGTTCAACTTGTTTGATTCTTTTCTTTAATAATTTATACTGAAATCGTACTTTTTATGAGCTTGCTTCCAGGCGACTTTTGAAAGAGGGCGTCTTCGACAGCCTTGCCAACGTCTGCTTGCTGTTTGGCATTTGGGCCACTTCCGACTGTCTTCGCTTCTTGTGGGAAATGGATATGGGGGGGAGGAGATTGACTTACCGTTGTTTTGAAATTTAAAAAAAATGCCCAATTTTTAATGAACTGATAATTTTCGATTGGATTAAAACGTACCAAGCTGCAAGCTTTAACGTAATTGTACGCGCTGCACAAGCGTGCGCAGGAGATGAATTTGAAATCTCTAGCTCGCACATGCACAGAGAATATTCTCGCAAAGTTTCAGCTTTGTACCTGAGTCGCTGATAAGTTTGGCAAACATCGCAAGACTCTCAGTCTTAATTTGCTAATTTCACTTCCTTTACTTGAAAAGTCAGTTTCTTTACCATTCCTTAATTTGTCTCAGTAATAAATTGATACTGGCATACTCGTACGCCGAAGAAACAGCTTCCCCCAGCCGGCTTAAGCATCTCTATTGGTGTTATCCTTGACGTTGGAAGACTGTTATCAACTTGTTTTCTGAACATTTCGATCACGATGACCTCAGGCATCTTGCCAAATAGTAGGTTTTTATGAAGAGCAAAATATAAAGGGTACTCTTTTTGCATGACTTTTTTAGGATCAGAAAATTTTTTTTGTGTGTTTCGATTTTAAATTGTTTTTTGATACCTTATTTTTTCGTGTTTTCTAAATCTTTTTTTTTTTGTAAATTCTGCATTTATGATGATTGTATTGATCTTGTAAAAAACTCCTGCTAGTCAGTGTTTAAACAGTACTTATCCCATTCTGAGCCATATATCTTTTTACATTGTACGTTTGTATATATTGACTGCAAGCTTAAATAAATACTTTTGAATTTTCCCGTTCAATTTATCTGCATTTCTACAAGATAACCAACCCAATCCTTCCCAGCCTGCGTTTCCGGGAAAAGTGCTAGGGATGATCTGGGATATTTGGAGACTTTTATCTTTTCTACAGATGGACAAGCTAGCATCAAAAAATGAGGCGTTCTATCGTTTTTCCTTTTAGGGGGAGGGTTTCCGTTCATTACCATCAACGGGCACTGGAATTCGTGCGTCGGAAAAATTTGAGAAGTTGCTTGACAAAACCGACACAGAAATCACTTGGAGAGGGGAGGATTTTTGCTTTTTCTACATTAGAAAATGATGAATTGCGGTCAGATTCGAGGTATGCTCTGTTTCTCACTTTGAAGTACGGTAACGGACAAAAAATTGAGTCAGGGACGCGTCGGATGTCACCTGAATTTCTAGAATTCTTTCGTTTTTTGGATTTAATTTTTGCGTGCGTGACGTTAACAATCTAATTTTAAAACGCGCAATCACTATCATCTGAATCAACGGATGCAAGCTTTGCCCAGGGCATCATCTTTTGTTGGAAGTTGATTCTGGTTGTGTTCTGTTTTTCGGCAATATTTTTTCCAGATTTTGCATAGCAAAAACGGGTATTCAGGAAAATTGAAAATTTCCATATTGGAGTTTATTCTCATCAGTATTTAATGTAAAATTCGGCACTGGATTATGACAGTGTATTGTTGCGAAGCTGTGAGGCGACCGGTGCGTAAAAATGCAGCATATATAGTAAATTAAGGACGATTAATATGTACTGCATCCCGAGAAAAGTGAAGGGTGTTTACTTAAAACGAGTGATTGCCCGCGATGTTTATCAAGCAAGGGGAAGATGATGATTTCAAAATTTCTTTCTTTTTTTTAGATGAAAAGGACGTAGTGCCGAAGCAAATTAATGCCAAACCACTAACAGTACTGAGTTTCGTAAGAGCAAGAGAAACTGAGAATTGAAACGACAAATGCATTTTTTGATGGGCTAATTCGCCTAAAATCTCAGCTCTCCAGCTCTTCTGGTTTCTGAGTTTGCAATTTTCCTGCCAAAACTTTCATGGGGCCGCACGTAACCTGGGGGCATAGCTGGGAGCTGGGTTTGGAATCTTTAAGTTTTACGTGAGTTGTAAACATCCCCTCATAATTTCAGCCTCCCAACTTTCCTCGTTCCTAAATTAGTCATTTTCCCCCTAAAAAATTTCATGGGGCGTGCGAGTACCATTTTAAGCTCTTAAACCTGACTTTAGCTCTTAGAGCTGTCTTTCTGTTGGCCTTATTTTTCTTTTTCATGGTACTTACAATCAAAACTAAGTTGTTGGGTTAAATTACTTTCTTATTGACTGGATCGAAACTTCTACTAATGGTATCTATTATTGTTGATTAAGTGCACCAAAATGAGGAATATGCAGTCGGGCGATCAGAAGCAGTTGGACAGCCAACTGAGTCGTGATCTCATCGATGACTTCTTTGATGAAGGACTGAAAAAAGCGATGAACAATCAGAAACAACTTGTGAAGGGAGAAATTAGCGAGGAAGAAAGAGGTTTTGCTTTTCTAAAAACTCGCATTTTTTGGTTGGAAAATTTATCATTGCAAACAGAAAGAACTGCTAATGACGAATGAATGAGACCTTGAAGCAGGGCAACTAGTCCCACTGCAATTCGTTCATTCGTTTCGATGGAAAAAAACTGGCGATCACACATACTAGGATTTCAG